GGAAATGTCTGTGTAGGTAAACTTGCCTGGCTTGGTACAGAAGTCTTTCAAACTGGAAAAAGAATCAGAAAATTTAAATGGTTGAGAATATAAAGAAATGTGAATATTTCATTCCTCCTTCCCTCATAAAAAGGAAAAAAACTACTCTCAATTCTCTGCCAAAAAACCTCCTTGCTTTTGTAATAAGCATCCCTTCAAAACAAAGACTAGTTTGTCACAGAATGCTTTACAGATGCTTTTATAGCTTAAAGCCAAGAAATAGCCTGAAAAATATGAATACGTTCCTCTTCACGCCAAAATTTAGAAACAGTAGAGACATGGTAGAACTTTAATGAAAAGTGCCCAGTCATTTGAGAAAATCTGGTTCAATCTATACAAATCTTCCAAGTGTAAAAGAAGGTAAAGCCAAGCCTCATTTCATTCCACTGGTGGTACTATATGCAATCTAAATTGTTATGAAGAGCAATCATAACAATTGCGCCCCCCCAGGCCAGAAAAGGTGTCGGATCTATTTCAGTTTGGTGACAGAATGATACTCATTGGCCTGGTGCGTTACAGGAATTGCTAAATGTTCACTAAAACCTGCTTGTACAAGCGAAGTGTAATACATACATTGCACAGTACTTTAACATACATACCCTGGAGTTTCTATTATTCTGTAGTAGTTCTTGAACAGTTCTGAGTAAATCTCTTGTACACCTAGCAGTTGATGGTAATTTTAAAAAGTTACCATACCACAGCACTGAATTTTGCTACAGCAACTTCAGCTTTTAGTGCACAACGTAGGGTTTAATGCAGAGAGTAAAATCTGTGCTGTTTTCATCAATGGGAGCCAGATTTAACACACTGTACAACTAAGCACTGGTGATGGAAACTGGTTTATTTGTTTGAAATAGTAAGTCCTAAAGTCTAGGGGAAATATTTTCAAACAGAGGCATCTACATAGAAGTGGTCTGACTTCCGAAACTGTTGGTCATGCAGAGCCTTTACCTATGTCCACTTAGGCTCCTTATTTTCAAATCCCTTTAAACTTAACAGTAGTTTCATACACTAAACACTCTAGAAAATTAGTCATTTTAAGTTATTGTCATATATGTGTCCTAATATATTTAGGCACCCACATTTGGAAATACTCAACCTCAGTTTCATCATGAAATGAGAAAGTTGAAATGAGAAAGTTGCATCATGATCTGCTGACTATAAGGAGATGTAAACTTAGTACATTTTAAGACTATATTTTGAGATTTACCTCAAGATAACTAATATACTAGTTTCATGACAATATTGTGCCAGGTCCACCTTGTAGATTCATAATTAAAAAACCCTATAATCAAAGTTTGCCTGATGGAATGTTAGATTCAAGCATCCATCCTGGGAAGCATACACCCAACGTTTATTACATTAGAAAGTAAATTATTTAGTTAGGGAGGAGAGCTGTCAGGGAAAATACATCACCTGTTTCAGCATGTTTGGGAAGCTTGCAATGAAATTATAATAAGGAAAAGCAGCATTACATAAACCCAGGATATTATCAGCTTCACAGCTTCAATTTTAGAAGCGTTCTTTGTAAAAGCAGTGATGAAGTGCAGTTGTTTAAGTTCATAGGATTTAACCACTAGAATTTTCTTGTCTGTGAATGTTTTTATAGCATTTTAATGAGGCTATATTAGTACTAATGCTTGGCTTTTGTTTTGAGTTTTAATAATGTAAGAAAATCTATACTGTAGAGAGTTACAGCATTGATGTTGTGTTTTGCTGTAAGAATAAGGGGAAAAGGATTATTTTGCATGTCTGTCTGAATATATTTGAGATGTGTAAAGGGCGAGTGTCAGGAGGAAGGAGCCAGGCTCTTCTCAGTGACAGCCAGTGACAGGACAAGGGGCAATGGGTGCAAGCTGGAGCATAGGCGGTTCAACCTGAACATAAGGAAAAACTTTTTTACTGTGAGGGTGCCAGAGCACTGGCCCAGGCTGCCCCGAGAGGTTGTGGAGTCTCCTTCTCTGGAGACATTCAAAACCCGCCTGGACGTGTTCCTGTGTGACCTGGTCTGGGTGATCCTGCTCTGGCAGGGGGGTTGGACTCGGGGAGCTTTCGAAGTCCCTTCCAACTCCTGACATTCTGTGATTCTGTGTAGTCCCATCATGTGAGTGGTGATAAGCAAGAGGTGTACTAGCAAGAGTGTGGCCAGCAGGTCAAGGGACACTTTTATTCCTTTGTGTTTGGCAGCTGTGATGCTGCAGCTGGAGTACTGGATTCAATTTTGGATTCCCCTATACAAGAAATACATTGACATAGCAGAGCACATCCAACTGAGGACCACCAAGGGGTTGGGGCCCATGAAGTATGAGGACAAGCTTAGGTTAGCAGGGTTAGGTCAGCCTTAAAAAGA